GAATCCTCTTCGTTATTGAGTTAAGGGTATATTTGTATTGTCTAATCATGTGAGTGACACTCATTTTTATAGTTTTAAAGTTGTCACGTAGTGCTCTTTAATGAATTATCATTGCTGACAAGAGAAAAAAATGTCTCTTTTCACTAAAGGATTCTATTTTGGTGAAAATGATCAATAGGCACAAAATATAGAAACTTAACCCTTTTCACCCAGCAATATTGTTTAATACTGCATGTGGTTATTGGTGTCCAAACTTGAATAACATAAAACTCTGCTGCTATGTTGTAATAACAATTCTCATACGAAAAGAAACTAATAATTATTATTATAAGAACACGGAAGTTGAGTTTATTTTGAAGACATCAGTTTTGTTTGGTCAAAAAAAGAAATATTTTTAGTAGAGTATGAAGAAATAACTCATTAGTATAACAAAATTTTACTATCAAATCTTAAGTACGTTTCACTAAATTGTCATATTTTATGTAATCTATATGATTCTGATTTTATTTGACTTAAGATTAAAAAAAAATATAAAAAGTACTCTATTTTTTTTTTTTTTTTGCTAATCATAAAAGTACTCTAATTATTGGGAAAAATAATTTTTCTTTTTTTGTGCTGGCAATAAAAGTAGTGACCGAGCTAGCTGGTCAGATTTGGTGCCTCACTTTCTTTGAAAAAAGGCAAGGCTTTAATGTACCATTTCAAAATTATTTGAAGTGCTCGTACAATCCAGATTCTTTGACTCGGATCAGTGATGAACATTCTCGAAGTAGACCGGAAACTTTTCAATAATAAATTATAGGACTCCCATGATTAGCAAAAAAATTATAGGACTCCCATACTGTAAAACGCTACATATTTTTATAGATTCTTTCACTTTTTCTATGGTTACTCTGGCTAGGATCTGGTGCAGGATCATGTACAATATAAAAGGTTCTTATCCACTCACGTTACCCTGGTCCACACTATTTCTGTTCTTTCTTTCTTTGACAATTATTTGAATTTTCTTATTAATATTTTTTTGTTTGCTTTTGCTATATTGTTATACTGTAAATCATATTTAAACAAGTGATAATTGATTTGGAAACACCAATTTTGTCAGGAGAGTCAAACTTGAAGGAACATGACATATTGGTCTACGTGTTTCTTTTTTTTTAATTTTGATAATAATAATTAAGAAATGAAAAATGAAACATGCACATGAGTGACATATTTGTATGATGCATATATATTGGGCAATTTCTTTTCCAAGAGATTAAAACAAAAGCCTACTAGTGTAGCAGACAAAATTTTAATTGGAAGGATTCGGAAAAATAAGTATATTGTTGCATATATTGTATGATGCACATATATTGTGGCATGTTTGTATGATGCATATATATTGTGACATATTTGTATGATGCATATGTATTGGACAATTTCTTTTCCAAGAAATTAAAACAAAAGCCTACTAGTGAAGCAGACAAAATTTTAATTGGAAGGATTCGGAAAAATAAGTATAGAACTATGAAAAATATAGTAAATAATACATTTCCGAAGTATTAAAGGGGGGGAAAAAAAGAAATGGTATTTTATTTTTGTATGTAATACATCTTAGGACGCAATGTGAAATTAACAATTAAAATTTCCCCAAAAACATCAGATACAATGATTTTTTGCTTTAGTAAAAAAAAAAAAATAAAAGGTTTAGAGAGAGTGAGTGTGATTTGTATTTATTTAATGCCAATAAAGAAATTATGACAAAACCTAGCTTTAAAACTCATTGATAAGAAGTCCTTTTTTCTTGTACTTAAAAAGTTAAAATAACATATTTTTATTTATTGTTGTTGTGTTTTGATGAGTTGATTCATACGCAGTTAACTGTTAAGTTATATTTTAATACCCCAAGTTGAATCAATCTCACTCGAATTGCTTTGTCTAAAGTAATGTAGGGTGTTCATAAATATTAAGTCCCTTTCAGCATCTAGTTTACAATTTTGTTTTTGTTAGTTATCTTTATTTATTTATTTATATTTTCTCCTACTTTGGTGGTTGTGTCTAGCGAAAAAGATTGAGATTTTATTTTAGAAATCTTCATTGTGATTATTGTTCCCAAAGTCGTATTATAAAACCATAAGTTTCAACGATTAGAACAAAAAAATATTAGTATTTTATAAAAGATTGAGATTTTATTTTATGTATTGCACGAATTGATTGAAAAATATAAAGAAAATTAATACCCTCGTTTATTTACTGAAGAAAAGAGAAAATATCTTAATCTTAATACTCCAAGTTAATTAATTACATTATACTTTCCTTATTCCATTAAATAATTTTATTTTTGTATTTTCCTTTTGCTGTTCTGGGCAGTTTGAGTCCCAAAAGTTAATAATAATAATTAAAGAAAATTCTACGGAAACTTGAGCCCCGTTTAGTTCGCTGATTCGAGTTTAGAATTCGAGTTGAGATGTAATTTTATGTGAGAGCTTTTTACTGTAGCAAAAAAGTTAGATGTGATTGTTTGTGAGAGCTTTTTACTGTAAAAAACCTTAAATTCTAAACTCGAATCAGCGAAGTGAACGAGCCATTAGTTTGCATTAGCCAAGTCGTATGATCCGATCCGATGGTAGTAGGGTGGATTGACAGTGGGACCCGCTACTTTCTTGTTAATAAAATAGGATAAACACACCTGATTATTACTTGGAACATCTGGATAAAAAAATATTCGTTTTTCACGCCTTCCTTCTCAAACCTGGTTTGCATATACCATGGAATCACATGACAAAATCATTTCGATGTAGGCAGGAAAAAATAAAAAAAATAAAAAACTATCGATGAATCATTTTCAGAAAATGATCTGAATCATGTAAATAAAAGATGCATTTCAACTTTCAATCTAGACTGGCTTTTCAATGATTTCAACTAATCCACAATTATAACTTGGACAAAGTCTAGGTTTGAATTTGATTTGATTTGATTTTTTCTTTTTTGGAGATTAACGACAGACGTGAGGAAGGAAAAAAAACGAGGAGAAGCTCAAGTGTGCTAAGGTGTAGTGTATTCTATAGACCTATCTTGTTTTGAACTATTCAATTAAAATTGGACGGTCTAAATCACGGGTATTATTGATATGAAAAAGCAACGTGAGGTATGGTAGTCTCTCCCTAATAATAATAGCGGTATCCTATAATTTGCAGTTTTCAATTATGAGTAAATACTCAATTTACCTTATTTACCTTTTAGAAGAGTAGGGGTCTTTATCTTTATTTTTAATTAATATAGTGTTTGATTAAAAAAAATATTAATTAATAATAAAGATAAAAATTAAAAATTATGTAATTTAAAAAAATATTTTGTCTCTTTTTTTTTTTCATTACATTTATAGATATTCCCCCAACGTGTACACTCAGCCATATATACTTCAACCTTTTTCTTGTCTGAGCCTATATACCAATAAAGAGACAGAGCCAGTGTGGACTTTGTTTTTGTTATTATTATTATTAATATTATTATTATTATTATTATTATGACTCGAGTTTTATTTTTGTTAGGAAGAGTTTCATGTTCCTTTCAATTTGAGTTGTAAAGTGAATATTATATGAGAGAAAAATATTATAGTAAAAAAATTAAATGTGAATTTTTTTGAGATAAAATATTATAGCAAAAGATTTGAGTTGTGAAAAGAATATGACTGTTATAGAATATTTCTCTAGTGATAATATTTACTAATTTGGTATCTTAAATTTTTGAAAACAAATAATTTACTAATTTGAATAGATTAGGGTCAAAATTAGGGCGACCAAAATATGAGTCAATTATAGAGGTTATAGTTGTGACTTAGGGGGTTAATGAGTGGAGTTTTTGGATGCTTTTTTGTACACATTTATTTAGTTTAGTGTACGTAAGATGACTTCTACTTACCAAATTATTTGTTCCTTTATTTATGAAAAGGAAGGCTTCATGCTAAAAAGCATCAACCAAAAAATAGAGAGATAGAGAGATAATAATATTAAAATAACAGATTAAAATAAAATGGTGAATGTGAAAAGAATAAGGTGGCTAATGATCAATAATATTATAAAAATAGTGATGAGTAATTTTAGAATAATAAAAGTGTATTGGTGTGTAATTAGAAGGGGTGTAGAAATTAAAAAAAAATGGCGTGAATAAAACCACTTTTATAACATCATATTAGCGAGAGAGAGAGAGAGAGTGTGTGTGTGTAAAGAAGGGGATAAAGTGGGTTGGGTAAATTTCAATTTTCATTTAGTCACGTAAATTGAAAATAGTTCAAATCACATGATTTGAATCCATGAACTAAACGGACCCTTAGTCACTAAATTTATCTTTTGCCCACTAAAATGTGGTTGTTGATAAGTTTAGTTCCAAAAAGAATATACCTCTTGAAAAAATAATTCCACGGCTAAGATTTAATAGTTGAAAGATAAATTTAGCGACTAATTAGTTACAGTCATTCAAAATTAGTCACCAAAAGTGTAATTTCTTGTTACGTGCCCACTCACAATTCTGTAAATTGGTACAACAACTGGACTTGGCAATAATTATATACCAATAACAACGCCAAGTTCACACTTTTTCATAATTTTATATGAGAAAGTTCTCAATATTAGATTAATACCCCACGAATCAACAAAGGGGTTCTACTTTTAATCTCCTCCAAACTCACTAATCATTCTGATTTAAGAAGGAACAAATGCCTTTTTGTCATTTTGGAAAAAGGAATAGAAAGAACACCCACAATAAGAAATTTAAAGCAAAATGATTGCCTTCTGAAGATGATCTGGTCGAGGAATCTGAGATACCCCTCGTGGCAGCATTAAAAATAAATAAAAATAAACTATGGACGCGCGTGTGGTCACGGACCTGTGTTATGTAGTGTGGGGGATACTCCATAGTAGTCCACACCAAAGATGGATTAATTATGATGACGAAAAAATGAGTAGTGGACCTCTATATTATTCCTTTTTCTGATTGCACCTTGTTTTTCACATGACAATTTCACCCCCATATATCTTTTTCTCTAAACCATCACACACATAAATTCACACACGCAAACACTGCTTCCTCTGCCTCTCACATTTTTTGCTTCCATTTTCTAGGAAAACACAAAACTTGGGAGTTTCTCTGCCTCTCCTTGTCTTCTCACCCCTTTGTAAGGTAAGGGCGCATAGCACTTCTCTTACTCTCTGTCCAAGTGTACTGTTTGGATAGGTAGAAAAAGAGTGAGAAAATTATTCAGTTTGTTTTTCCTTTTTCTTGGATAAGAAAATGGAGGGGGGAGTTCATCCGGGCACAGATGTTTCAGCTTTCAGAGACTGCTTCTCCTTGGCATGGAAAAATCCTTATGTTCTTCGTCTTGCTTTCTCTGCTGGCATTGGTGGCCTTCTTTTTGGCTATGACACAGGTATATTTTTGTAAATTCCTCACAATTTATACTCTGTATCTCTTTGTATACCTATATATTTATGTATATATATATATGTATAGATGTTGAAATAATTATGAATCATTCTGTTGATGATAATGAGCAGGAGTGATATCTGGAGCTCTTCTTTACATTAGAGATGACTTCAAGTCTGTGGATAGAAAAACCGTCTTGCAGGTGATTTTTCTGAAAATATATATACACACATATTTTATTATATACATATATGTATATATACATGACATATACGTACGTATTTAAATGGAATTTAACAAATAATATTACATTAACAAACTGTGTTTATTGCCATATAAGTGCCTATAATACTTCTTTTCTTCTTATCGTTGGTTAATTTTCTTCCATATTTAATATTCTTCCCCATATTTTCTTCCTTGGAAATTTCACAATTTTGGGCACCATTTGACGATAATGCCCTTTAAACAGGAAACCAAATTAAGTACTTTTTCTTTTGACCCTATCTTGAAATTGATTGAACCTTTTTTTGGTGGATAGAATTGATTGAACCTGAACTTTTAACTCATTTTGCTCATGTCTCGTTACGGTGTTTTTAATAATTCTCTTTTTAGGACTTTTTTTTAATAATTCTCTTTTTAGGACTTTTTTTTAATAATTCGTGTGCAGTTAAAGTTGACAGAGATGGCTTTAACCAACCTCAAAAGTGGCTCAATCTCTTTTTTTTTTTTCTTATATAGAAAAGGATTCATATAAATGCCACAATTTTTTTTGTCTCGATTTGGTTCATTTTTACCATTTAGCCTTTAATTTGGGGATTTTTTGTTAAATTTGTAAATATTTAGTTTATAGATTTAAAACTATAATTTAAAATTATTCTCAATTTACGCATATTTTTTATGAGAAAAAATATTATAACGAATTACGAACTATAATTTAAATCATGACATAAATCTTCATTATTTAAAATGTTGACTCTAACTTTGTCAAGTCTTGAATATTTAAATATAATAGATTAAAAAATATTAAATTGTTTCATCGAGTAGCGCATCATTTTTTGTGATGCTCTTATCTATTTCGGCCGGTTTATCTCTTGGATCCAGTTCTCCGAAGGAAAAAAAAAATTTATTTTGCGTAAATTGGGATAGTCTCCAAGCAAAAATAATAAAATACACAAATATGTCCAAACATGGGTGTGATTTTCCGTGTGGGGGAATTGGGAATCCAGTTCCCAGCCATTCAGTAAACGACAATAGTAGCTCTAGAACTGGGCCGAGGATCGCTTCAAGCGATTCGATTATCTCAGCCCAATAATTACAAAAGAAAAAAAGAGAGAAAAGTTTATGACTTTGTGCTGTCTTATTAAAATTATTTAGAGAAAATTCCTACTCTTAACGGTGTTTAAATTTTGATTTTCATCTCTTACTTTGAATTAATATCTTTTCAATAAATAATTATATTAGTCAAAATGATATTAATTATGAATAAATGATAAAAATTTAGACTTATGTATTTTTAGGTGGTTTTTATCTATTTTTCCATATTATTTATAAAGTTCTAAATAATTATATCGTTCTAAATATTTGAATGTCATTTGTGGTTTTTTGTTTCTTTTTACTAATTGAATGATTATTATTTATTTTTAAATAGAGTGTTATAAATAATTTTTTTTTATCATCTTTAGTAGTATTTTTTTATTTTTTCCAAAAAAATGAGAAAAAACAAATTTAGTATATAAGTTTTCTTTAGTAGGACCTTCCTAACAGTAAATTTGGTTTATGACAATTTAGTCAAAATCTCATCATACCGAAAAAAATATACAAGAGAGAGTTTCTAAATTACATTTTTCTTAGCAAACAAATTATTTAATTAATATTAGTAATATTTCATCAAGAATTGTTCGATTCTGCTAATTCCGCTATTGCTATTCACCACTTTAAAACTATCTAATTGGTGTTTTTTTTTTCTTTGCTTTTTTTTTTTGTTTAGAATGATCTGATTGATCTAATACGTACACGTTTATTTAAAGCACATGTTTACTTTTCTTTATGTATTTAATTTAACTGAACCATAGTATATGACCAAGATTAAAACTCATCACGTTTTTCTAGATTTGATCAGTATTGTTGCAATGTTTTCACAGCTTAAACTGTTTTTGATTCAAAGTCTCCGCATCCCATTGTTACTCGCTTTACTTTTATCAGCAAAACCATATACATATACATGTATATACACACACATATATATAGATATAACACGGCAAAAAAAAAAAAACTCTACTAATAAGTGACAATTTTTAATGTGTTTTTATTAAGTTCGGTTAAATTGTCACTTTATTGTTTTTGAAAATTGTTACTTTATTTATTATGATTTTACTTTTATTTAATTTGATAGTTAAAAGATGTATCACATTTTCACACTAATAACAATCTAAACATTGAACATGAAACTTGATCACATTCCAAAAACAGGAGAGCATAGTGAGCATGGCTGTGGCAGGTGCCATAATAGGAGCAGCCATTGGGGGATGGTTGAACGATCGGTACGGTAGGAGAAGCTCAATCCTCATAGCCGATTTCCTCTTCTTCATTGGAGCAGTGGTCATGGCATCAGCCCCGGGACCTACCCTTCTAATCATCGGTCGGGTTTTTGTTGGGCTTGGGGTCGGAATGGCGTCCATGACATCTCCTCTCTACATCTCTGAGGCCTCTCCTGCAAAGATTAGAGGTGCCCTTGTTAGCACCAATGGCTTCCTCATAACTGGAGGACAGTTTCTGTCTTACCTTATTAATTTGGCATTCACTAAGGTAAGCTATAAATACAGCAAATACTTTTTTTTTTTTTTTGTGTATTCCAAGGCTTTTGCCATAGTTTTTTTTTTTTTTTATTTGCATGAAATTAGACTTTAAGCTTATATTTTAGAAATTGAATGGAATATGTTCTGTTTAGGCCCCTGGGACTTGGAGATGGATGCTTGGAGTTGCAGGGCTTCCTGCTCTGGTGCAATTTATCTTGATGATGCTTCTTCCTGAATCACCTCGATGGCTTTTCCGCAAGGTTAGTTTTAATTTCTCAAAACATTTTCACTCCTGAAAAGTTGCACCAATTTGTACTGAAATATTTTGTCGTCGGCAAGTTGCGTCCTATGTGTTTAATTTTAGCATTTAGAACAATAAATTTGAATGTTGTCAAATCAGTTCAATTGATAATGAATGTCAATTAATTAACGGAATTTAAGATTCTAATACGTTTAGTTCATAGATTCAGAACCATGATTCAGAATTATTATCAATTTACGCGTATTTTTTGTAAGAGAAAACACTGTAACGAGTCATGAACTATGATTCGAACCATGACATGAATTCTCAATCAACAAAAAGTTTCAGGTGCATTTGTACAAATTTCTATTTTGTGGGGCATTTATGTATATTAATTGATGTCCACCAGCTAGATTGCCCACAATTTCAATGAATTAACAAATTTGGGTCCTATTTGTAAAAATTGATAGTTTGAAGTCCAAATACGGTAAATCCAAAGTACACTAATTTTTAGGTGTATTTAAAAAAAAAATTCAAAAACATATCCTAATAGTTTTCAAAACTTCAAATTTTACCCCCTTTGCAATCACCTTAATTCCTCTGCTCATATCCTGCAACAGGGAAGAGAAGAAGAAGCAAAAGCCATTCTCCGCAAGATCTACCCAGCGGACGAGGTGGAATCGGAGATCGTAGCCCTAAAGGAATCCGTCGAAACGGAGCTCGAACAGAAAGGCTCGAGCACAGACAAGATCAGCATCACCAAACTCCTCAAAACCAAAACAGTCAGAAGAGGACTAATAGCCGGGGTTGGCCTCCAGGTGTTCCAGCAGTTCGTCGGTATAAACACCGTCATGTACTACAGCCCCACCATCGTCCAGCTCGCGGGCTTCGCCTCGAACCAGACGGCGCTCCTCCTCTCCCTCGTCACCTCGGGGCTCAACGCCTTGGGCTCCATTGTCAGCATTTACTTTATTGACAGGAGTGGAAGGAAGAAGCTGTTGCTGATCAGCTTGTTCGGAGTTGTGATCTCTCTCGGACTTTTGTCGGCGGTTTTCCACGAAACGACGTCGCATTCGCCGATGGTCAGTCTGCAAGAGACGTCTCGATTCTCCAATGGTACTTATATTTGCCCGGACTACGGCGGCGCTGGAAATGGTGGGGGTTGGGATTGCATGAAGTGTTTGAAGGCCTCTTCTCCTGATTGTGGATTTTGTGCTTCTGCTACTGATAAGGTACGTAACATTCAATTACATTTTTCTTCTTATTCGTTTTGGTTTGATCTCTTGCACAAGCGTTCACTAAGGGTATGTACCGTAAGGAGGAAGGAAATGGGAAAGAAAGAAAGGTTAGAGTTATTATTAGAGTTATTATTATGAGTTGTATTTTGTTTAAGTTGATCTATTCTGCTAAAACAACAGTTATAATTCTTTCACTCCTCTTACTCTTTTCACTTTTCTCCTCTGTTGAATAAGCTCCATGTATATCTAAATATTGGCCTACTTTAAATTTTTTATAGAATTAGTAACTAAAATTCGGCGTAGTTATAGGTATAATCTAAAATTAAATTTACACCTGACTTTCCTTTCAAGTGTAGAGTACAAATCTCTCAATTTTTAATTTCTTTTGAAAAAAAAAAAAAAAAGAGAGAGAGAGAAAAGAACAGGCACTTATAAGTTTTTTTTTTTTTTTTTTGCAAAAAGTTAATATTTTAGTTATTCTCTTTGACTTTGGTTTGTGTACACTTGAGAGAGAGTGCTACAACTAAAGTTGTAATTACTATTTTGTTGCATCTTTTTATTATTATTATTATTATTCGTAACAAGTTATATTTTAGTTTCATGATGTGTCATGAAATGAAATTATTGTATTTTTCCGCAATGCGTACTATTTTCTATCTCAAAATCCTCAATATAATTACCATTTGATTTCAGCTACTCCCCGGGGCATGCTTGATCTCAAACGACACCGTTAAGGACAAGTGCCAAGATCAAAGCAGATTATGGTACACAAGGGGATGTCCAAGCAAATATGGATGGCTTGCCCTAATAGGTCTTGCTTTGTACATCATATTCTTCTCTCCCGGAATGGGGACAGTTCCTTGGATTGTCAATTCCGAAATCTACCCTCTAAGATTCCGTGGGCTTTGTGGGGGAATAGCAGCCACAGCGAATTGGATCTCAAATCTCATTGTGGCCCAATCTTTTCTGTCCCTAACCGAGGCCATTGGGACTTCTTGGACCTTCCTCATATTTGGGCTTTTCTCTGTTGTGGCCCTAATCTTTGTTGTCGTTTGTGTTCCCGAGACAAAGGGACTTCCCATTGAGGAAGTTGAGAAGATGTTGGAGACTAGGGGTTTGCACTTCAGGTTTTGGGAGAAGAATAGGAGCTCCTCTACCTCACAAGGGAAGGAACAATCTGCCTAAAAAATAGTACTACTAACGGAGTGTTTCATAGGGGCAATTTGGGAATTTGGTCAACTTGGATTTGGAGTTCTTGAGTAAGATATATAGTGAGAAATTGTACTAGTCCTTTTTTTTTTCTTTCTTTTTTTAAATCTTTTCTGGAAGGAAAGTAGTGAATTCTCTAGATGGAGACTAGAGGTTAAGAAATTGGGATTGGAGGGAAAATAGTCTATTCAATTTTCCCTATGTTTATAGGATATAAAATTGGACTGATGAGTAATGTCATTTGCAATAATTAGTCTTTTAATCGTCCTTTTTAACACTTTTGGTCTCTGAAACTAAAAATTAACGAACGATTTTTGAAATTTAATAAAAATATTTTGTGTCCTCACATGATAACTTTAAATTTTACAAAAATAGTTACATTATCTGTCAAATTTTCTATTTATTATTATTAAAAATTTGAAAACGTTAAATTTTAAAAATTGTTAGTCATTTTAGTGTCAATGACTAAAACTATCAAAAAATAAAAGTTTAAGGACTAATAGGCCAAAATAAAAAATTCAAAGATCAAAATTTTACTATACCCAAAGTTACCGATTACCCTAAAATTAATATATATATATATATATAGGTAATAAAACTGTCAATTGAAATACTTCACTAATAGCATTTATTCACAACTTTGGATGCTGCCTATATAATATACTTTTTTTTCTTCTTGTAATTTTATGCGTGGTCTTTCTTTCTTTCCTTTTTTTTTTTTCTGAATAATTTTTCTGCTGAATTTAGGTATAGTGGTTTGGTAATAAGTAAAAGTTGTTTAAATTTCAACATGCATATACAGCACAATGTGGTCCCTTTTCTGTATGTTTTTGGGCTACATTTAGGCTCCTCGTAAGGCCATTTTGGGCTCCACACTTTTAATGTCTGTTGACTTTTCACATTCTTTTTTGGGAAAACATGTGTTGGTAAGGCAGGTATGTACATCCGGATTAATAACCTGCCACAATTAAATTCACCTATATATATAAGAATCAAGCCACAGAAAATTTCGGCTACATATTAGAATCAATTATTATCGCATGGACCCATTTTTGGGCATGATATCTGTTATACCATGATTTTTCTTACCGGCTCGAGTACCTCACCTCACCAGCTCACGGACTTGGCTAACTCATTGACCTTGATGAGCTCACAACTTGGTGAACTTGCCCTCACATGCAAGTTGGACCTTTCCCCACTCGTGGGAGACTAAGTCCATGTCCCTATTCAACTTGCAAGTAAGTCAATGCCTCACCTCAATATACGTGTAAGGTCATATCCTTCCTCATGACCTCACGAGTTATCAACCATCTATCCCACGACGTCTGAATACCTCAAAATAACTGTTTAAGCAACCGCCCACACTCTCAAGCTCTCACGTGCAAGACCCAAGGTCTCGAATAACTACTCACGTTTCGAGTAACCAAGTGCGAGACCGCAATCTTAAGATGAGGAGAGGAGCACGGAATAAGGGGGAGGGTAGGAGAGGCATGAGATGAAGGGGGGTTCGAGACTCAAACATTTTTTCTCACTTACATTCAATGTTGAGAGAGCATGTATAGAGAGTTGGAGTGTGTAAGCCTAGAAATTTAATGAAAAAACTCAGCAATCATAGTGAATGTAGACTCGATTAAGTCGTACCACTTTAAATCTTTATGTTTTATTTTCGCTTTATCTTTATTTCACTTGATGTTTGATCTTTTTGAATTGAATCTCAACCTAGAAATCCGATTCCTTTGAGGTTGGTTGATTTTCACTTTCAACAATACCTTTATTAATTTACCTAACAAAAAAAGAGATCTTCTTATAAATTTTAAATGTCTAAAACAGCGTTGAAGTATTGAAGTGTTGAAATGTGATAAGCTACTGATCCAGAGTACAAATTTTCCACTAAAATTTTTCAAGCAACAAAAAAAAAAACCCCACTAAAATTCAATTACTTGTCAACCTTAAACTTGACCAAGTGACGATCAATATGTTGAATTTTGGTTGGCCCCATGATTGTGTTCCATAGCAAAATAAGAAACACCAAAAAAAAAAAAAGGGGGGGGTTAATAGCACAACCGTGTTTGAACACTAAAATTGAGAAGCAAATATTCATTTACACGTGCACTTTATAAAATAAATAAATAAAAAAGCACCATCCAGCATGTTTTAAGTTCTAACATCCTTGTAAATTACCTTGCAAGGGCGGAACCATCAAATATTTTCATTAGAAGCACAATATGAAACATGAAAGCATAAAAAAAAATAATAAAAATTATACAATATTTCATTTGAAAACTTCTCGAAAGTAGGGGCACAATTAGAAATTTTTCCTTTTTTTTTTTACTAAGTGGGAGCGCATTTATGGTGTTAATTAATACATTTGGAGCATAAATACAATTTTATAAATATTTAATTGTAGTGAAAAACAATTAAAATCTTAGTGAGGGCATGTGTCTCCACTGAGTTGAAGATGTCTTGGTCACTAATTAAGTTTCAGTTTTGACTGATTAGATTTGGTGCATAACTGTTATGATAGAAAAATTTAGAAGATTAAACGCGCCTCCTCTTCAGCTTACTAGTAGCTATTGTGGTACTATCCTCTTCTTGGCGCGGTCAAAGTTAATTTTGATGCAGCTTTTTCTAAAACTAACTCTGCCCTAGTTGTTGTTGCTAGAAACAACTTAGGCGAGTTGGTTTATGAGCTTTTGAGGTTGGCAAAGGAAGGCTAGGAAGAGAGATCTTAGTGAACTATTCAAAATCCAACTCTTTACATATTTTCCAAAAGATAAAATCAGAACAAACTGCACTTGGAAAAGCCAAGGCTTTTGGTATGCATAATGCACATATATATTCTCATATATACTTGAGGCATAAAAATATTCCGGAGAACTTCCTTTAAAGGAATGTTATCCCCATCACGCTTTCTATTTTATGCGTTCCTTTTAATGGGTGAACAATGATTTTACGCTTGTGTGTTATTTTGACTTCCTAATCATAATATTGAAAGCACAATGTGGCCCTTCTTTTCACAACACACAAAGTAGGAAAAAGACGTTGAATCAACTTGTTGGCATTTCTAGCTATTGTTCCTTGTAACTGTCATCAGATTGATAAAATAGTGATAAAGATCACACCAATATTGTTTGCGTGTAAGACAATTAAAACTATCACATTCACTTAAGCCGTCTTACGTTTCATATTAATATCTATGTTTATACCTTTATCATACATATATACTATATAGCGTGTAGATGATACTCGTGATAATAAAGTGAGAAAAATACTACTATTCAGTGACAATTGTATGATTAGTAATTTCACCAAATTAATAATATATGTTACTTGGAAAATTTTATCATGTTCCAAGTTATCCTAGACATGAGGTCTCAATCTATGTATTTGTTGTGTTTAAGGCCATCTGTAACATAAATGTGCTATATATATTTATCACACAAACGGCAAAAACAAAATTAAAAATTGGTTGTTTTGTTTTGTACTCTAATGTATAATGTTATTTTATATGCTATATTTATTTTTTTTGTTATAAATTTGTAGATGTAACATTATTCATGGTATTATATTAGAGAATGTTTTTCTTACCCCAAGTGTTAAATACTTTTGAAATTGACCATAAAATTCGACAATGCGTTGGAGATGCTGTAAGGCGACTCTGAATACATAGCTTTGTTCATGACTTAATGACAACTAGCACATGAGATCCATGCTATATTAGACTGTAAAGCGACGTTAAAAAAATAAGTAAGAGTAATTAGTTCCAATTAACATTGCGAATTAAGTATCAGCCACCCTAGATCTGCTAGAAATGGAACTATGGGCTAATTAACATTGCGAATTAAGTATCAGCCACCCTAGATCTGCTAGAAATGGAACTATGGGCTGCCCATGGGCCAGACCAGGCTCATCTTGATATAGTGTTGGGCCGGCACGGCAAGGTAAGGCACACTTTTTAAGGCACGGCCTAACTTATCAATATTAGTGGACTAGGCTTGGTCGACTTACCTCAGATCATGAGCCGGCACGGCATGACCTGTGAAAATTTATGAATCAATTCAGGCTGGCCCATTTAAGCTCACAATGGGTTGGGCCATCCAAGGCCCATTTTAGCCTAACTTTTTATATATAATGCAAAAGATTTTTTTTTTATATAAAATATTAACTATATGCCTCGGTTATATATGTATACATCTATATATATAGTCAGTCATGTTTACATGTGATCGTAGATATTTGTGATACTGCTACTAGTTGTACATTGTAGTTATAAACAATAATTACTTTTATGTTTTTTTTATGTGTTTTTATTTGTTTAATTTTTATTTAATAATTTTGTAAACATCTTACGTGCAATTATTGTGAATGTACTCTTTTATTTTTATCAAGTTTTGTTCTTTTGGGTTCTTCTTAAAAAGGTTTTTAATAAGACATACATAAATAAAATATTTCTTTTTATTTTTTCATTGACTATTTAGATTTTTATATTTGTTAACTTGTTTAGAAGATCAAAAACAAATATTTTAAAAAAAATAACAAACAAATGACAAAATGCATGTCAAGATGGGCTCCCATCCAAACCCATAATGGGGCAAGATGGGCCAACCCATCTTGACTCATATATGGGCTATTGTGGACCAGCCCGGTAACGGCTCATGACACGGCGCGACCTGACCCAGCATGGTCCACAGAAAATTAGCTCGTGAGATAGACTGGGTTGAGAGTTGGTCTTTCATGGGCCGGCCCGGCACAGCTCACTAGGCTCAGCCCATTGCCTGTGTGGGCCTTCTTGCATCTCCAAGATCTGCCAAACTAGAAAGGTCTTGCTCAAGATTGTGTGCATTTTTCCAATTGTCAATTTCTTTCTGAAATTGGAAACTCCTGTAGAAGTCCATATTGCATTTGCATGTTGAGTGATCATTTTCTTAAAAGAGATGTGTGAAAACAATTATGCCATCAACCGACCTAACTTCTTTCACACTATAGACATAGGAGAGTAGGTTACTCAATTGAATAACGCGCATTTTCTCAGTCAATGGCGGAGTAGCACTTTTGAGTTTAGTACTAGTAATATTGGTTCCTCACTAGACAAAGTTATTATGGGTTGTTCTTGCATTGTCACGTTTGAAAGGCTTTTCTTAACCTCTCAATTGATCTTCTCTCATAAAGATATCTAGAACAATGTTAGGCACCGGCGGCATAGAAAGTGAGTGTGACGGCATAAATTTCACAGATAAAATTCATTTTCTATTTAGTAATGGTGATCAACACCGACAGTGCTCT